TAAATAAATTCGAAAGTTCGAAATGTATCGAATTTTTTGGTCATTCAAGTTCGAAAGTTCGACAAGCATCGAACCTTGCAGCGCAATAAGTTCGAAAGTTCGAAAAAGATCGAATTTTTTAGCGTAATAAGTTCGACGGTTCGAAAAGCGTCGAACTTCTTAGCTTAACAAGTTCGAAAATTCGACCTCCGTCGAATTTTACGATATAGATAATTCGAAAAATCGAAATCTTTCGAACCTTTCGAACCGCTTGATTCGATCATCGAAACTTCGATTCGAAAAAAGTTCGCGGCATCCCTAATAGTGACCGTCACGTGACCTCCGGAGTGGTGCAGTGACACGCGTATTTGCCTCCTGACCGTACTGTCCAGCGCTTGGCATGGAATCGGAGCTGAACTGGGTGCCCTGGCCGTTCGAATCCCAGCAAGCGCCAGACGTGTCCTCGGAACCTCGAGCGTCGCAGGTGCAGTCGACGGGGCCGCCGTCGCAGCCAGCATCAGACGTGGAGCCAGCCGACCTTAAATCGGGTAAGGATGCCACAGACCATTTCGTTTTCATTTTTTGGTAATAACAAATCACGAAGTTTGAACTTTGTGACATATATACCGGGGAGAAGAAAAACGTCTAACTGCGTGATTTTTTTTTTTTATGACTTTTGTAGTCATGATAAATTAAAAGCAGCGCGCAAAAAGACAAGAGACAAAGAGGGCGGCATACAGGACAAGCGCTGAACTTGTATTTCTTTAAGTCATGAACCAACTCGCCTGCATTGCTACCTTAATTTTATCAACGTTAAAAAAGGGTAGTTGGTGAATTAACTTTGTATGGAAAAAAACCCGAGACTGGGAATAAATAAAAGATAAAAGAACAAGCACACACGCCGCCTCAAACGGTGGGTGCGCTTGTTCCCAGTTGGGTGTTTTTATTATGGAGTTTATGAACGTGGATAGTTAAGTCACTAATCTGAAACAACGTGTTTTTTTGTTTTATTTATAGAGTTGAGCGATTACAGCCACAGCACCGATCCGGACGCGGAACTGTGGTCCAGCGCGGGCTCTGTCGCGGAAGCCATTTCTCTCCTGGGTCTGGACTCCGAGATGGACCAGGACCATCTCTCCTTCTACCCGTGGCTGCACTCGAGTCCTCAAGGCACCGGTGCCCAAACACTCGAACCGATAAGCTGGTACCCACCGGAGCTGACGTCCTGCGCCACATCCTCCTTGACGACGTCGGACCAGGACTCCCAGAACCCGGAGCCCCCGACGACGAGTACGTGTTCCCTCTGGCCCGGCGTGGACCCGCTCTTCAGCACGGCCCAGATGACCGGTTTGGACCTCCTCGCTGAAGACCCCCTGGCACCAACGCCTCTCCTCTGCTCAGCACACATGTCCGACTCGGGAGTTGCTGAAGGACCCAGCGACCAGCAGGGGTTTTCCCTGACACCCGTCACGACGTTGATTGGTAGTGGCGTGGAAGAGTTGCACAGCTCGGACGTGGCCCTGCTGTGGGGATTCGTGACGTCATTGCAGTGCCAGCAGCGACAGGATCGGCATCCGGCGGATCAGTGGACGACTCCTGGCTCGGTGGCGGCGAGCCTTAGCGCCATGGCGGCCCTCGCTTACCCTAACTACGCGTGGCAGTGAACTGTGGTGTAGAACGGGGAATGTTGGAGGTTTTGTACTTTTGAAATTCCAAAACTAGTCCTAGCAAGCTTTTTTTTTTTTTTTTTTCATAATGTTCGAGAAACCCGCCAAAAAGCCCAAAGGATGGGCTGACTACATCCCATAAAGTGAATGTTTCTAGTCACGATTCTAATAAGGTCACCTTACCTCTGCTACTTTCTTCCGTGTGTATTAAGTTTTTTTTTAAGACTCAGTAGTTCATGACAAGGGTGTCAGAGGATTCGAGTGTTTTAGTACCTTAATCTGCTTGTTTTTTTTTTTCTATTGTTTTAAGTTTTTTATGCATGCTTTTTCTTTGTCGAACGGGGATTTTTGAGGTTTTGACTGCATGTTCAAGAATTGCAATGCACGTAATACTCTCGTTTATTGGGACAAATAAATGCTTGTGAGTGAACTTTTATTTTAATGCGTTGCCGGCTTCTCTTTGTCAGTGCCATTATAGCTACCACGCAGTGCTAAAATGCAATGTTAGATAAAACAAAACAACAAAAACTAAAACATCTAAGTAGTTGCTATTGTGATTAAACGTGCTCGTTCCAGGCGGTAGTGAAGCTGTTGCGGCCAATGAGCATAGTCTGTCACCAAGCTAAAAATCCGGATTCGTTTCTGTTATAAAATATTTTTTCCAACACATTTCGGTTTCAAAGCTCGCGCGGAGCAACTCCATGACTAGGGCTCCGTGTTTCGGAGTTTATTTTTCGTGAAATTCGGAGGGTGTTTTTCGGAGTTTATTTTTAGCGAAAATTCGGTGTTTATCGGAGTTTGTTTTTTGTAAATCCCCAATTCTCCGAAATTCGGAGATTAATTTCGAAGTGTTTTCTATTAAAAAAATAATAAATAATAAACGGACGCAAACGTATGCCACATGAAAATAAAACGCGCTTGTATCAATTAAGATTTCTCCAGTTGAAAATGGCGTTGGCGTCATTGGCAATACTAATTTGTCCCACGACAAAAGTAGCACACAAGTGTGGCTTCGATAAAATTCGATACCTTAAAATCAATAAACTGCCGGAGGTAGCCGCAAGGAAGCTCGTAATCATCCCATCAATCTGTCCCGCGGACGCGCGAGGTGGAGTGGTTATGGATGTAATAGAGAAGGTTCAACTGCTCCTCTTTCCTTTTTTATACAGTCTCTATGGTCCATAGCTTTTACTGTCACCCCCAGAAACATACCCTCTCCTTTCTCTAAATCCCAAATCCCAAGGCCCAAACTGGAAACCAAAAGAGTGGCTTTTGTTGTGACACGAATGGCACGATGACCTGTTTCCCTGAACCAACCTTGACGAGACAAGCCGTAAGACCCCCCTTCGACAACTGTCCGATGCTTGAAAGGAAATTATGGTGTCATTTTCCGAGGACCATTGATCCTACGCTGCTCAAACTGTAAATATATATATATATATATATATATATACTTTTTTTTGGTTGGGGGGGGGGGGGGGGGGGTGGCATGGGCACATAAAAGATCGGAGTTTACCGGATAAATCCGAATTGACAAAACATTTTACCGGGGGGCTGTTTTTCGGAGTTTTTTGGATTTATCTGAAAACACGGAGCCCTAGCAACGCCCTAGTCATGACTCATGCAACGCGTGCAACCACTGATCTCTATGACAATTGCTGGATCGCGCTTCCCCGCTTGCTCGCTGCAGCGCAAGTGAAGCCACCGGACTTCACTCACTTGGGATACGATTTGCCGTTTTTGCTAGCCTTTGCTGCGGTTTTCCAGCGTGCTGTAGACACGTTTTCTACTCGTTCGTCGTCATTCGCCGAAGAAGTTTTTTGAAGACTCTGTGTATTGTTGAGACTTGCCGTTGTGAACACGTGGAAAATTTTACGAAAGTGCAGTGTCGCAGGAAAAAGGCACAACGCGTCGAAAGGAAGGGCTGGCGGCGTGTTCAAAGCTTCCTTGGCACGCCGAAGTGCCGTGTCTCTGTGCCTTCGCACACTTGGATACCGACCAAGAACCGACGCCGTGTGTATTTGTTTAGCGAGTGCAATGTGCGTGAAGCTGTTCGTGCCTCTGGATCAGCGTCTTTTCCCCTCGCGGTTTAGGAACGAGCTTGAAGGCGCGTTCACACTCTTGCAACCGAGTACGACCGAGAAAGACTTCTTGGGACCGGATGCACTGAGCGGAGCTGGTCCTAAGAGATCGCAAAAGGCTTAAAAACTTGTTTGGTCTCTCTCGGTCGCACTGGGTTGCAAGAGTGTGAACGGGCCTTAATCCAGCGTCCACTAGCGACGGAAGATGGGTGGAAGGTACGTCTTTTTTTCGTCCTTAGACGATTTACACAATACCGTGCGCAACAGCTCCTTATCACTGATCAGTGCTGGCTGATTATCTACCTACTTAATTGCACTTGACGTTTGAGCGCGGCTCGCCTAATTGTAATTGGTCAACAGATTGCACACGACCATATCGGCCGCGCTTCAAAGATTTTCATTCTCGCCGTCTTGTACTTTTGCTTTCGAAAACCCCCCTGGCTTCACAACGTTGCCGTATTCGTGCTCCCACGGAATCTATTAGAGTAGATTTGGGACATAGCCATGGTTAATATAGTACATAAGAACACGTACAGATCTCCCCCTTTTATTGATAGCAACTCACCGGGACAGCTGGACGATCCAGAACTCCGTGGCCGATATATATAAATGATCTAAAGGCATCTACGCGCGACACACGTTCAGAACTTTGGCGCGGCGTCAATTCTTGACCGGTATCCAAGCGTGCAAAGGCACAAAGATGCATCACTCGGCGTGCCAAGGAAGCTTTGATCACGCCGCGTTGCACTCGCTAAACACCGACGAGTTGTACCTTTTGATACGGCTTCACGCACATTGCACTCGCTAAACACATTCACACGGCGTCGGTTCTTGGTCGGTATCCAAGCGCGCGAAGGCACAGAGACACGGCACTTCGGCGTGCCAAGGACGCTTTGAACACGCCGCCAGCCCTTCCTTTCGACGCGTTGTGCCTTTTTCCTGCGACACTGCACTTTCGTAAAATTTTCCACGAGTTCACAACGGCAAGTCTCAACAACACACAGAGTCTCAAAAAACTTCCTCGGCGAATGACGACGAACGAGTAGAAAACGTGCCTACAGCACGCTGGAAAACCGCAGCAAAAGGCTAGCAAAACGGGAAATCGTATCCCAGCGGGGTTGCGTCCGGTGGCTTCACTTGCGGGAGCGGCAAGCGCGATCCAGCAATTGTCATTGAGATCAGTGCGTGCAACCGTGCAAGATTTACGCCAAAACGAATCAGGCGGTAGCTTTCGCCATCTATTGAATATTTTTGTAGACTAAATTCATGAAAGTGCAGCGCCATCTAGATTGGACTAAACGCACTAACGGCCCACTGCGGCTCTGCGGGCCGTTCATGCTGGCTGCTCTCTGTGATCGTCCCCGTCATCCTTCAGCCCGCTCTCCAGGCAATGCAGGCATGAACGTTGCCCTGCCGCTGATTTGAGGTGCTTCGGCTGTGTGGAATAACAACATGTCAATCGCGGGACAACCGGAGCCCTCGAACGCAAAACGGCGTCGTCAAACGTTAGAAAGAGGCCAACATCAAACGATGACAGCCTCCTGAGGTGGCGATCGTAACACGGGATCTCTCGGTCACCATTTGCACGAACAGACGGCCACAGCACAGGTATGCCCAAACAAAAATCGGTGAAGCCGCTGTATCGCCTCTGCGTCTCCTACGTCTCTAGCAACATCCAACAGCTATGTCCCGAGCACAATCCCGTAGCTTACGTCTTCCCGGCGCACGTCAACGAAGACCTGGTCGACGCCCTCCAGTCTTACAAGCAATCCAACTTCGTGTCCCTCAACCACCTCCTGACTCATCGCCTGCGTCGCGTGTCCCTCAGTTTCATCGACTGCCACCTGCCCATCGGAAGGCCGTCCCGTCTACCCGACCTCCTCAGCCAGATCTCGATGCACGGTAAACAGCTCCTTGAACTGTCCCTAGTCGGTGCTGTCCATCAGGATGACTCGACACTAGTCGCGGCGCTGTGCGAGTTGCCGAGGTTGCGGCGGTTGTCCCTGTGCCTCAACAACGTCACCGACCGCGTGGTATCCGTCATCGCCCAACACTGCACCGACCTGGTGGAACTCCGGTTCTCCGGCCAACGGACCACGGACCAGAGTCTTTACCTGCTCGCGGCCTGCAAGCAACTCCGGTGTCTGCTCGTTGAGAGCGACCTTACCTTCGAGTCGCACATCACGGTTTCGTCATCGTACCGCATCCTGGAAGAACTGCCCCAGCTGCGGTCTCTGAAGATGCCCTTTCTGACCGAGGCCCTCCTTCTGTTCCCAGACACCTGGAGGCTTGGGTTGACCCACTACACCGAGCGCGGCTTGAGTCCACTACTGAGGTGCAGCACTGCCTTCGAGCACATAGTGAAGGTGTGTCCAAGGCTCACCAAGGTGAGCCTGGTGCTCACGGGGCTGGAGACCATCACGCCGCTGCGACACCTGAAGGCACTCAACGATCTTACCCTGAGGGTGACTTCGTTCAGCTCCGACATGTTCTTCAAGACTCAGGTGGAGCCCGTGCTTCGGGAAGTGGGTTGCAACTTGAGAATGTTGACGCTGTCCCTTCCCGAGGTGGACATTGGAGCCATCAGCAGGTATATGACTGTCCGTGTGTGTTGCATGGGGCTCGATGCCGGTGCTGTTTATGCTGCCATAATGTTTGGCATGGCCGTAGTTTGCAGTCGAGTGAGCAGCTTGAGTGGCACTCGCAGCCCACTGGTCATTTTATTTGTTTGTGGCAGATGGCAGGTCAACTTTTGCAAGTGCTGGCCGTCAGTTCCAACCGCCGCGGTAAAGATTGGAATAACTTTTTTTTCTTCTAATATTCATAGCTTAGGACATACGATAGACCACAGCCTCCGAGAGTTCATATCTTGCATGCTAGCTTGAAAGTTGAAAACATTGATTTCAGTGGTGTCAATGTCCCGTCTCCACGGGTTGAACAAGTATGATCTCGTGTGTCTCATAAGAGAGCTTACAAACAAAAGCATGTCTACACTATTCATTGTGGCACTAGTGTCCCTAATGATCATGCTATTGACATCTAACTATGTCTTTGTAACAATCGTATCGGTTATTTCTAGCGTGATGGTGCTTTGTAGCATACATAACAGATGAATCCAAATAATTTTTTAAATTTTCATGGCATCTTTTATGAAGTTTATTCTGTTAAAGTTAAGTGCAACATTATGCAGTTGAGTGGCAAAACTGTAGTCAACAAGAAAGCCAGCAGCGTAAAGCACGTCTCTCAGACATCCGACCCTCAGCACGTGCTCAATGCCCTTGGTGATGCTTCGGTCGTGCGTGCATGCTCGAAGCTTAGATGCCAAAGTGTTATCGAAAGCATGAAGCTTGCGCTGGAGGCGGGACTACCGGACACCACCCTGCCGTTCTCATTTTTCCAGCAGCCGTACTAACTTACCAACGCCTTTTCACAGGCACTGTCCAGGTCTGACGGACCTTGAGATCGAAGACCTGCGGAGAGTGCTGCCCTCTTGCGGAGAGACGAGGTTCCGCAAGCTGCAAAGACTCAAGTTCTTCCCGCACGAGGTGAACTCCATGACGTCGGGGGAACTCTTCGAGATGCTCAAGCACGCCGGAGACCTTGTTGAGGCTTGTCTGGGCTGGTGCCAGCTGACAGACGCTGCCCTCGGAACCCTGGTCTCTTCCGGAACCTTCGCCAAGCTGCGCGAGTTCGAACTTAATGAGGTGGACTGCATAAGTGGCGTCGGACTGGAAGATCTCGTGACGACGCCCAGCGACCTAAACTCTCTCACCGTATTTGGGTGCGACGGGGTGTCAAGGACAGACATAGAGCACCTACGCAACCTCATCAGTGACCTTAACTTAGATCTCGTAATACGGTTCTTTGAACTCTGAGGAGTGACTATGTCTTCAACCCACTGTTCTTGCCGAATGTTGGCGTCTTGCATTGCCGTTTCGTTACCGGTACCGTTTTCCCAAGCCCGTTCACCGCAATTTAAAATTGCTCCTGCGTGGTACTGCACGTCTACCGGCAAAATAAATGTCTACAACTAAGGCACATTCTCGAGAAAAAGTGATGCATGACATTGTCACGTAAGGACTGCTTATGTGAAGATGTAGGTATTAAATGATTAGCTGGCTGCATGATTAAGATGGATAGCAGCTGCATGCCAGTATTCAAACTATGACAATGATGAACACTAATGAAGGTATGGGTCGAAATTGAACCAGTCTAAGTTTGCAGGTATACTGCCTCCATAAGTGCCATTACAGCCAAGATCCATTAAAGGGACCCTGCAATCATATTTAAGCGTCTACCTTTTTTGCGGTTTTTACATCTTTTGGGGTTCGGGCAAGCCAGCGGGCACAAAGAGAGTAACTAAATATCAGTGCGTCATATTTCAATCAGACGACGCTCCACTTACGGGGGCGACCCGCGGTGCCAAAAGTGCGCGATATGTGAAGTCTTTGGTCCTGGCCAACGTTACTAGAACTATGGTGCCTGGATCGCATCTTTGACTGGTTGTGTTTAGTGTCCTATCCTGCCCACACATTAAAAGTGGTCCCCAAGTGGCAACAAATGACATCACAGAAGCCGGAGTGTCATGCTTTTACCTGTTGCGATCCTGGCGGTTGGCCGTAGAAATGCTGGCGAAAAGCACGAGCGAACGCTTGTGTCGCTGTCATCACGGCATCCCAGGGGTCCCAACTTCCGGCTGCTCTCGCTTCCGTGACCTGTCGCAGTGGAGAGCGACCCGCAGCAGAACAGGCGTCTGCCATTTATACCACAACAGTCGGGACGCCGCCAGGGTCGCGACCGGCGACAGCTTGACACTTCTATGACGTCATCAGGCGGAAATCGAGGGACCACTTTTTTGGCTGCGGTAAACACACCAGTTGGAGACGCGTTCCAGGCACCATACTAGAACCCCTCAGTTGGGAAACTGCCATAGAGCCTGCTTTAAAAGAGTGGCTTTGATTTGTACTCGAGAACCGAGCTAATGGCGATCGCAACTCCGCCATTTCTCCCGCAGCGTCCACTCCGGGAACTGCACGGCTGCACGTCGAGTCGGCAAGGGCCGGTGGCGCCATCTCGCAGGGCCATCTCGCAGTAGCTATGTAAAGCAATCTTCATGTTTCAACTCGTCGCTAAAGGGTGGCGCTATTATCGTATTTAGCTCGGTCTCGGTGGACGCCAGCGGCCCAGGTTTCAAGGGTGAGCTTCCCAACTGTGGGTTTTAGTAACGTTGGTCCTGGCCTTACTACTGGTCAGAGCTGCTAAAAGCTTCTTCTTAGTCGAAATACAAAATATAAGTGGCACGAACCGTTTCAATTATTTAGGAAAGTAGTTTTTGTTCAGTATTTTTGATCAGAAAAGGAACAAATAGTTTATAAAGTACGGAAACAAGAAGTGACCCGTCAACATACTTGGCACCAAGCGGTTGAAAAGGCGGCACATACTAGAAAGGGGTAGAGGGATCAGGCACCAACGAGTGGCGAGTGTAGAAAGGTTGGGGATGCACGCAGCGGCGCAGCAGTCGTATACGGGCTCGAGGATCCGACCGGTTCCGAGCGTTCTGAAGGCCTTCGGCGAGCAGGTCTGGCTTGTGGTTTGGCGGTATGGAAGCTCAAAGTGGCTCCCATTCTTTGCTGATCTTTACCCCGTGTTTGCTGTCATTTGTTGCCAATGAAGTGTCATGCCGAATTAGTGTTTAATCGCGCAGCAAATGCAATGCGAGCCACCCTGGCCGCTCACTTCATACAGCCTATCCAGCACATGCTTTAGTGGCACCCTCTCGACTCTTGAGACGTCGGCACGGAGTGCGGTAGCCATAAACGCTCGCTGAGCTCACTACCGCTCCTCTAGTTCACAGCCACTCAAGCGACCAAGGATGTTATGAAGGAGGTTATTTTTTTGCTTCTTTTTTTAATTTTGATTCGCCTATAACTTTTAAAATAAAGCGAAATTCGAGAAAAAAAAAGTTTCATTAGGTTACTACGTTTAGTGCACCCAGGTTCGGTGCAAATTAAGAACTAGAAAAAAGTCCTTGCAGGGCCCCTTTAAGTGTGGCTTTTTAAAACTTTCACCTATGAGAAAGAAGGCAAGGAAAACAAACCCCTGATAACTGAAAGCTGTCTCACTTTGAGATGCAAGCTCCCGGTCAATTCTCATGAATGTCAAAGATTTGGTTCATACTGTAGCCTATTCAATAAGTGTCAAAATGCAAGATCCCACGTTGGCAGATGAAGGCACACTTCTTGCGTTCGGTTGGTAAAGCCCTAGCCATAGTTTGCAATGCCTAAAGCTCTCAGCATTGCTGTTTGAAGATACACTGAGCAAGACACTGCTCATGCAAAAGATCTGAAAGCACAGATTAGACTTTAGATGCTATCTCAGGGAGTCAGCTTCAAGTCAATGCAGAGGAACTTCCAGGACACCGGTCTTGATATCTTTCTAAAGTTGCCGATCACAATACCACTGGGTGATACATTTTGTTGGTTACCACAGGCAAGGCCGTGGTACCGTGCTCAAGTCTGCGAAGCATGGGTCCACATACCTCAATGTTGATGGTTATGTCTGCCGGGAGCGTGATAAAACATTATGGCTCAAGGTGCGACGCGAATACACGTGTCACCTCTTCACCTCGATGCAGCCCTCAGTCAATGCCAAATAACTTGCGGAACATAGGTCCACAGGTCCTGATGTTGCTGGTCAAGTCTGCAGAGAGTGGGATACAATGTTGAGGCTTGAGGTCCGACACAAATGCCCGTAGCATCTCTAAGTCGATGCAGCCCTTAGTCGATGCTGAAGAACTTCTGGAACACTGGTCCGCAGGTCTCAATGTTGCTGATCATAATCATCCTCAGCCTCTCCAGGTACTTCCTGTCCCCATTGTCTGGCTTAAACTCCCGCCACAGCTGTCCGCCGCCGGCAGCGCCATTCTTCTGTGGAGCGAAGAGCGCAGGGCTGGGCACGTTGTCCCTCATGTACTGCCAGATATCCTGGAGGAGGCAGAAGACCTCGAACGGTGTCAGCAGCTCCAGGATCTCACTGGTGGATGTCATGGGCGGAGGCAAGAGCTGCCCCTCCGACATAATGCGCAGTACCCTTTGCGTCGTCTCCAGATGCTTGGGGCTGTTGGCGGCGGCTTTCTCTTGGCAGTTGCGCCAGTGGGTCATGGCGACGGCCATCACGGCCCGGAGAAGGACGCTGCAGTAGCAGAGCGACGGACGCACGGAGGCCACCAGGTGCAGGAGGTCCCAGAGCACAGGGTGCTCCACAAACATCGCCTGGATGTGCAGGTCACGTTCCATGGTCACCTGCGTTTGGTGGAACGTGGAAGAGGTGTTGTAGCATGTCTTGAACGAAGGACCATAAGTGCATTGGATGGTCGCTGAGTGGAAGGAGCTATTTCTCGGTTCTCCCACGACCTAGCACGTGAGTTTGCTTCCTTCAATCAACCTTTTACAAAATTACCCAAGCACCAAGGAGAATGCTGACAACGTAGGTATGCATGCTGCACTTGCTCATGTTGTTCGTATAAAAACTTCAAAGTAAACAACCAAAACAAGGCATTGACAAGCACACATGCAAGGTGCTATTTGTTAAAGGGCCACTGCAAATAAACAAAAAAGTTTTAAACAATTTGGTTGGGACACGGAAATCAAAAAATAAAGTTATGCGGAAAAAAAGAGTTTTTAGAGCAATATTGATGGCGTGGGACGCGATTTAGTTGGCGGTCACCTCCTTTCCCCTTGTTTTCTATCTTGGCATTTCGGGCCCGTGAAGGAGAGGGGATCGGCTTCGCCTTCACGACCAAGATGGTCATTCTGGAATGACCCGTGACGTCATGCACTTCGCGTGCAGAATTTCAAATAAATCTCTTGTTGTCAATACCGCTCAAAAAAATTTTGTTTGCGCATAAAATTTCTTTTTTTACCCGCGTGTCCCAACCAGACTGTTTTAAAAACATTTTCTTTTTTTTTTTTCAGTCGGGTCGAGAAATAGACATTTCGACACGAAATATAGATTTTCGTTTTGTAATAATTTTTTAACCTCTATAGCTTCTAGTTTCATATACAAAAAAAAATTGTTAAAAATATCGGCCTAGAAGTTAAAAAAAAAGAATTTGAATTCCTTACAGCGACTCATGAAAATGCGAAGTTGGTCATTTTCGAGTTTGCGTTGTCCACAATAGCTGTCACCTCGACAAGGAAGAGTAAGCCTTCTTTCCAGTGATTTCCCTACACACCCCCTTTTGCTTTTCTGAATGAACCCCCTTAATCCGCAACGATACCCCTATTCTCAAAGCCCCCGCCCCGCCCCCGCCCTCCCCTAAAAATATAGACACCCCCCTAATTTGACTCCTTCTATAGTTTTGTACTTGCATTAGATATAATCACAAAAAACTTTCAGCCTTTCCACCCTGGTGAAGAAAGAAGACCAGCGATGCTGTACTATGGAGGGAATGAAGTAATGGCCAGCCACAAGTTGGCAAGCCAGAGTGGAAAGGCTGGACAGCTACCGCCATCTATGAGCGATGGCAGCAACCAGACAACCGGCCGGCCGGTTGTCTGGTTGTCGCTGTTGCTCATAGATGATGGTAGCTGTCCAGAGTTTCGTGTCATCATTTGTTTGCTGACAGACACAATACTTGGGAAACTAGCCTTTAACAGCTTCACTGTAAAAACAGTTTCCCACGTCCTGATGTGGCCCCAAGTGGCCTTTTAAAATCTTGGGATGTAAATGAGGCACTGCCATTGGCTGCTGCCCTGACACACCGTGCCACTGTGCAGTGACGCTAGCATCGTTTCCAATCAAATCGCATCGCAGGTTGTCTCAAACGAGAACTAAGTTTTCTGTTCGGCTACCAAGAGCTTTTTACGATTAGTTGCGTCGAAAAACGCATCTTTCGACTCCAAAAGAGCCGGTCACTGCGCCCGTAGAAAGGAAAGCGCAAGCAAATGCGCAGAAGTGCGACGAATCTGACGGACCCGCCTGTGGACCTACCGCTGCAGCAGAATGGCGACGCGCCTTCGAGCTCTTCGAGCACCGCAAGCGCCAAGCAACAAGCACTTTGGAGCTCATCAGCGACATGTCAGATTTCGTGAGTGTTTCAATAAAGAAGCTGAGGACATTTCGCGATAATGAAACCGTTCAGAAGGGAAGCGGCAGGAATGCCGTTATCTGCAAAAGTGAAACTGATGCGACCTTTGGGTGGCGGCGAGACATGAGGGGCACGTGGCATGTGCGAACTCGCCGTTGTAGTTGAGGACAAACGCAAGGGTCTTGCATCTGTGCTAGAGCTCGAGTGCATGAATGTTATGTGCCCTTCCAAAGTTTTTTCAGCTGCGTACACATCGCATCGTGCTGCCGCCACTGGACGTAAAATGTGCGACTCGGAACTATGCAGTCGAACCGCCCGCGAAGAATAAAAAAAAACAAAAAACCACACAACCATAATGACGGCTGTTTTCGGGTTGCAAAGCAAGTGCGGCATTCGCACCACAATGAGCCTCGTTTAGAGGTATTGGACAGCATTCTACCAGTGAAACACACTGCTAGAATCCTTAACTTGTGCCTGCAATTGAAGTTGCAGCGATCACAATCACATGGGTGATCATTGCAACTCATCTCAACCATCTGACTCAACAAAGCTCTCACCGCAAACAGAATGTCCCCTTTGCCTTCAGTCTACTCCTTTGATTGTTTTACACATCACTTCAACAAAATAACAAAAAAGAAAAAAATTGTTACCTTAAGAAAATCCTCGTCAGGCCAGGGTAGTCCATTGAACATGACATCTGAAGAAACCATCTCCACGAGCAACAGTGCCACAATTTTCATTCCTGCAACCGGCGACGTGCGCGGAGCCGGCTGATCGTTCACCCAAGGCAGAGCACAGCAGGCAGTCAGCGTCTCCAGCAACAGCTGTTTGTTCAGCACCACCTGCTCCGCCGCAATGGCCGGTGGCGGCACCACGCTCCTCAGCCCTGACCCAATCACACCGACCCTAACAATCGATGATGGACTCTGCGGGAAGTTTATGGACGTTGCAAACTTCTGGTTCTCCTCGAGGAGAGCCACGAATGGCGTTGTGCGCCGCACCTCGCGTTTTCGCGGCGACGAACCAAAGCGCCACGACACCTCTTCGTTGAGGCTGCCCCGAAGGAGGTCCCGAAGTGCCAGCTGCTGAGCCGCCGGCCGCACACAAAGTGTCGAGAGCAGACGCATGCACACGCAAGCTGCTTGGAACTTACGCCCGCCGTTGTACCACTCTGGTCGGCACACCACCGAAAAGAAGTAGGCCACCGCCGAAGATGCCACTTTGACCACTGCGGTCGAAGACATGGCCTCTGGGCGCACCGAGGTCGACAAGAGTTCGGCCAGAAGGTCCGCGTACTCTGGAGCTGAAGTAAGCCGCATCTGCTCTGCAAGCACCTCGGCGGACTGGCAGACGGCAGTGCTGACGCGGGGTCCGGACTGCGGGCTCGCCGCGAGCGTCTGGAGGTTGCGGACGAGACGGGCGGGGTCCGGGACACGGCCCGACCGCAGTTCGGCCATCAGGTGTGAGAGTGTGTGCGGGAGGCTGTTGACGTGCACAACCTCCACCTGATGCACCAGGCCCTGGAAGAGCAGCAGTTCCGTGGGACCACCGGTGGAGCGGCACAGCAGGTGACTGAGGACGGTCACGCAGGTTTTCTCCTTGCTGTGAACGCACATGAGGGCGAGCACGTTCCAGAGCCAGAGGGTGCGAGGGCCGCAGCGGGTGTCCAGCCATGCGCAGACATCATTCAGACGGCGCTCCAGCGCCAGCAGGAGCGGGATGTCGCCGCTGCCCGCATAGACTCTGTGCTGCATTTCGAGCAGCACGCTGTCCAGAAGGATACCGGCTGCACTCTGAACCTGCAAGAATGACCGGTGATATACTCTCTTCGCACATATGGGGAATCTGGAAAACAGTTGCAAAAGACACGGGTAGGGAGAGGCACACAGAGACTGGGACTTACCGTGGGAAGAAGGGACTTTGAAAAGTCGCTCTCGCCAGCGGCAATGTCGAGCACCTGAGCGAGAAATCTAAGGTCCCCGGTGCCACTTTGAACCATGAGGATGACGGTGAGGTTCATCAAGTCTCTGGTCCCCGGAATCTTGGCTGACTCCCACTTTGCCACCAGGCCAGAGAGCTTGTTCAGCATGTCCGCAGACACTGGAAGAGGTGAACAGTGTACCAACACGCATAAGCCTAGAAAGCCTTAAAGGAGCTGTGCAACAATTTCAGGGCTTTGCTTAAATAATTGTGGAAGTTGATGCCTGACACTTCTGAAGTGAACAACAGAAAACAGATTTTGACTGGATACCCTAGTTTTTATTTAAAAAAATTAAAAAGATCCAGGTTTTTGCCACCTCTCAACTCGTGCATCGTCTTCCGGGTCACGTGCGCAGTGACGTCGATGGGGTAGGCACGGGGCTCCGGTGAAGCTCTCTCTCTAGAGCCAATCAGTGAGCAGCGAGAACTCATCCGCTCGCGACCGCGTGATCATGTGCTGGCGGACGCAGCGCAAACAATATGGTGAAAGGAGGAATGTCTCATCCGGGTCCGGCCATACCCGTCTGGCCCTGTCCCCCTTCCCCTCCGGCTTCTGGCGGCTGTTAGCGGTAGCAGGTGGAGCTGACGGTTTTGTGGACCTAACATAGATGGCGCCACTAAAACTCCGTATAATAAAAGTTTTGTCGATGATACCAGGTTTTTGACGCATTTAAATTTATGTTGGAACGACAAGATTTATAGAAAAGTTACCTTTTATCGAGCAGGTATTCGCACAACTTGCTATCTGTCTACAAGACCCCCATTGACGTCATGCCGCGTGTTTCTCATGGTCCCCGCTCGCGGCTGTAGGTTGGGGAATATTCAAACTTTTGCCTCGCTATTACGTGGCGGAATCGCAACATTTCGATGAAAGGGGGTGTGTTTTCTGTCATTTCTGACAAGGTAAACAATGTCATAAGTAGCTAAGATGCCAATTCGTTCAACGTTAGAATCGTTGCACGGCTCCTTTACGGCTATAGTCTCGGAGAGAGGCATAGACACTCAAGGAAGTTACTATAGACCAACAGCTTGTTTACAAACAAGCCCGCGTTTGCCCACACCAGGTGTGGGCACTGCGCCTGCGCAGAAACCGAATTCGCATGAAGTGAGGCGTCTGCGCATGCGCAGTGCCGTCGACAGCGCCACCGCAGCTGCCTGACGTCAGGGCCGCGTGTTGGTCTATATTGAGATGCCCATCAGGACAATCACAGCACGGCCCCCAAATCAGATATTAAAGCAGCCGCTAAACAGTCATCAGAACTTACAAGTGTCATTATTTCACTGGTTATTTTGAGAGTGCTGAAGGCTCACCATGAAGATAATATAGGAAAGCATGAAGGCTGTCATAAAACAGAAGATGTTTGTCAAGAGATCTGTGGAGCTAGCCATCAGACGTTTCTAAAACAACCTTCGAAAGAGTCATAAAGAGATTTACTGGCACGCCTGTCTACATTGTTACTAGTTCAATGCCCACCCCTGCCCGTTTCGATCTGGGCGAGCATCGTATTGGCGTGCGGTCGTGTATCACCACTGCGTGATGTGCATTAAAGACCCCAGGCTGGAAGTGGTATTGCACTGCCTAAATTTCTCATCTACATCATGAACCAGTGTTACCATACCTCAAAAGCAGACCGACCTTAAGCTGCCTAAACACGAACGTCAAATTTGCTTTTTTTTTTTGAGAAGCGCCACAAGAAGATAGTTAAAACCGCCATCATTGAGGAAGCCACAAAGGGCATCGTTAAGGCCACCATCTAGCTAGCCAACAAAGTGGTTATATCAGATAAATCAGTTTACTTGCACCTGGATTATGAAACTGGTCCTATAGTCCAGTTGCAAACGAACTCATTTTCATCTGGGAGGGCGTCAACCTGTCTTTGACTCACCAACACGAGTAAACTCGGAGACAATGGCCGTAAGGAGGAGTTCCGACATGGACGCCAGCTGAAGTAGGAAAGGCACCGTGGCCAGTTGCTCCCTCGTGGGACTGGCGCTGAAGCTGTCTTGCAGCAGCGCCACCAGGGCCCTTCGGATGTCGGCCGAATGCTGTCCGGCCAAATGGCCCAGAATGCCCACGACTGAGGCCAACTTTGGGACCCGTGTCCTCTCGCCGCCCATGTCCTGGTCCTCTTCGTGGCTGATGAAGTCCTTGAGACCACAGGCAAGAACACGGGTGATAACCGTGTTTGGGAAGCAGGACCCGATGTGGGCCACCACCCAGTCAAAGTGGGGAGAGTGCTGCACCGACGTCTCTAGCAGGGCGTCAATGCACCTGCAGGAAATGATGCAGTCAAGTTAAAAAAACGGGGAAAGACGAAGACTAGAGTAACTGCATATGCTCCATTAGCGAAGCAGAGTATCGCAATGGTCTCAAATTTTGGCTTGTAAGTATTGCGGGAAGTGTCCTTCGCTCTTGCAGGAGACGCGACGGATGCCACAGAGATGGCGGTTCATTGCACATGCGCCGTTGCGAGTCTCCCAGGTCCTTCAAAAGCCTGCATGTGCACGCTGCGTCATCTATATTGCTATTTCATCTGCTCGTTAACGGCCACTTTGAAACTGCAGTACTATTATAAAAATAATGCAATTACACATACTATCTAGGCGGCACACAGAATGTCTGAAGGTTTGAGCGCACTGCACGTCATACGTCAGTCCAAGATCTTTGCTTCGCGAATGCAAGGTGAAAAATATGTACAGCTCCCAACCCGGCGCTCCACAGGACCACACTTTCCAGCAAGCGTTTTGGGCATATTTGGCGCATGTGACGCCCCCTTCCCCCCAAGTGAGGAGTTGGCGGCAAAAGGAAAAGGAAGGCGATACTCTGGCTCCGCCATTTAGTGACTCTGGGGGGGCGGCTGCTTCTCAGGTGGGCAATGGGCAGGAGGAAATAGAGTATATCAAGCGCAAAGTAAAAATGAAAAACAAAAGAAAAGAAACAGGATATATTTTTAATTAATAAATCAGACTTATTTTATTTAAATCAGATTAATTGAATTTAAAACATTGTAAGCTATAAAATATTGCTTGTTAATCACTCCGTGTATTTTGAAGCATTATAGTGATTGATCAATTTGTCTGATCACTGAAAATTATGCAGAAGGAATTGAATCATACTGTAAATTAAAGTACAGTTTAACTAATAATTTTTTATTGAGTAAACACTGTCGTTGTATAACAACAACAGCTTGATGTTCATAAGTTGGTGAAAAATCTTTATTTGCTTTTTCTTTTGCATTTTGATTTCCTCGCAATAGGACATTACTTTTCTAGTGCAAGTTTCTGTCTTTCACATTGTTATCTACTTGCAATATGGCAATACCCAACTGACAAACAAAGTGGATCTGAGAAAAGCAGCCCATTGTTCTGGTTTGCTCAGACCACCACTGCTTTATGCTTGTGTTTGGCCCGACATAAATCTTTCTTGATTGACGATGCCTTGATTTAGATACACAGCAAATGCACATAAAAAACATCAAATGATAGACAAACGGTAAATACAAAATATATTTTTTGGGGTTATTTTTGCGGAAAAGGTTCAGTTTAAATTATCATAGCAATGCCAGAATGATTTAAATCACGATTTAAATCATCACAATTTTCATTCTTCACCCTGGTCAAGTGTAATTTTAAGATGTTTTCTTTATTCCTCGAGAACTTCTCGTAGACCAACCAGACAACAAGACAATATGAGTTGCTCCGTAATCCCCGGGTTGCATTTGCGTCTCCCCATCTACCTAGTTGACATCAATACTTGGTTCAGATAAAACAAAGAATGAAGAAAAAATATCTGCAGGTCAATTACGGTGAATTATATAATGTCCTGTCATGCAGGAGACAACTAGACTCGCACCACCATCAGTTTGTCAACACACAGGTAGTTCTGGCAGCTGACAGCGGACTGAACGTTTTGTTGATGTTAGGACATAAAAAAGAACCGATCAGCGTGCATGAGTCAGTAAACACAGCAGACCATAGGTTAAAAAAGAAAAAAAAAAAGCATAATAGACGATTCAGTTATGCCTATCTTGTGCTTCACTGCCTCAGTAAGTCAGCTTGCGGTAGCACCGTCGAGGAACTAGGTCACGTGCAAGCTACGTGGAGAGCAAGTCGTCTGCTTTTTGCGCAGGCGTTGCGGTGACGTCAGAACGACGTCGAGCTCTGATTGGCTCAGATTGAAAGGATAGTGGGTAGACATCAATGCTAGATGCCTCAAAGACTATCTACTTTTTTTCCCAGTTATCCAATAAGAGCTTGGCGTTTTGACATCATTGCAACCCCCTGTGAAAGAACCAGACGAACTTGCGCTCCGCATAGGCAACCTACACTCTCGCTGGAGGCCCGTGCATACGCACCTATCCGGATCGGTGTCGATCAGCGTGGACAAGCACTGCGTGGTCAGGTCCATTAGTGTCCTGGTCGGCGGGCACGCCATCCATATCTGCAAGACCTCGGGCAGGCTGGACGAGTAGTGGACGATCCTGCGGTCGGCGTACTTGCGCGTCAGGTGGCCCAGCAGCTCGAGCGACCAGGTCGAGATAATGGGGGCCCAAGCGTTCAGGTTGCTCTTGATGAACCCGGACAGGACGGCCTGCACCTCGTCGACGGCGATCTCGCGTTCCCCGGACAGATCGGTCGGCACACCGGTGTCCTCGGAGTCGAGGCGCATGATGTGTCGGTTGACGGCGTCGTCGAACAAGTTGTGCATGTACTCGAGTACGGCTTCGCGGGCCACCGGCAGCGTCTTGAGGAGGCGGATGGCCGCCTTGGCGACGTCGCCGCTCTTGATCTTGCTTTCATAGCCGGACGTGCCCGCGAGGAAGAGTCGGAGGTCGTTTAGCGTACTGGGGTCGGACGGTTGTTGGGGTACCTCAACCGTGCTCGCCATGGCGACTCGGGTGGGGATGCCGGTTTTCGCGAAGGTTTTGTAAGTCTGAGAGACCGAGATGGAAAGACTCGCGATGGTTTCACATCTCTATGGTAGAGAGTGTCACTCTACAAAAGCGGTAAAAGCGTAAAGAATAATGCCGGTAGCTTCTTGGCTTCTGGCGAACTCGCACGCCATCAACAAAGCATCCATATATTCGATCGGATTTGGATTGGATCTGTCGACTACTTTTATGACAACATGAACGCTATCATCAATCCATAAAAGAGACAAAATAACGAATCTAATTGGGGCATTAAAAACTATTATAAATCTTCAAAACTTCAATCCTTTCTATTATACATCTTCAAAAATTCAATACTTTACGCTTCGATTGATGAGACGTACAGAATACACGAGACCATGAACCGCGCTACCTAGACCTGGCAACGCTGATTTTTCCTTTCTGCCGCTGAATTTAAACGACCCACGAGTGTGCACGCACGATGCACACAAGTACGTACACATTGTTGAATTCAAGCCTCCACTTTATTTACACTGAGAATCTGTCTACTCAGTGTCTGCACGTTCGATTGTCTTCATTGTCCTAAAAAATAAATTGAGCACGGAACTTCATGGAACCCTTTTTGCCAAGAGATCGTGCTAAATTTCATAACAAAACACACTACAGTGCACGATCGCACATTCTACAGTGTAGTGTCGTGCACCATTGTAGAGCAGGTTTCTATCTGGTGGCCCTCCCTTACTAACCTATGCACTTGCAGCCAACCACGAGACAATAAGTTTGTATGTCAATGTGAGGTGTCTGCAGTCAATACTTATGCTTAGACATTTACACAAACATTCAAGCACAAAAATGCAGGGCTAAATGCCCTCTCAAAATATTTAGCAATAAAACAACGTTCTTTTTGGTAACAAGGTGAATTCCTTTTTATTTATTTTTTCATTCATTTCCTTTTATGCCACTGCCTTTGGTAATAACCTATTTATTAATAACAAAACTTCATCCATTCTAAAAAAGATATTACACACAGTCACGGGGTTTTCTGCCGCCTGCAGCACAGGTCCATCACGATGTGAGCCACATGAGGAGCGTAAGACTTCACATGCTCCACGTGAGTGCACTCGACCACCCACCCTCCACCTCGAAGTTCATCCAGCATATTACGGATGGTGTCGCAAACTTCGGCCGCACGCATTTGCCACTGCTTCTCTTTACTACATTTGGACCCAGTCTGAGCTTCGCTGCCCCTGGCATGGTTTGGATGGGTGTCCACATTCTCATGGACATGAAGCCAATACTGTCCATAGCCGCTTCTCAAAGCCTTGCATGCCGTGGGCCAGCCGGACTCCGAGGATGGAATCAGACCTAGGTTGACTCGATCTGCGACGCCTTCCGGGCATACCTGAAAGAAGTTTGCGAGCGAAGAAAAACACATATAGAGAAATTTAGTATTCACGCTCCAGCAGAGTTAACAATGGGTGAGCCTCGTATAATCCCCACAAACACAGCGGTTACGAAAGTCGCCCATAGAGCATTGCCCTACGCTGCAGAGATGCTTCCTTGTTTGAGGGTGCGGTCCCAAAAAGGGGTTACCTGCAGTGGGGACTGTGTCGGCTACATTTTAGAATAGTCACCCACATTCAGATCACAAAAAGCATGTGATATAGAGAACAGCACTCCAAGTAGTGCCCCCTACAACTGACATATTGAAGCTTTATCCCTTTCATCTGTATTCTGAGTATGAGATCTCGAGTTTCAAGTTTTTAGCTCTAAAGAAAAAAAAATTGGGACAGGCACCAACATTCTGCACAAAAAAAGCTCCACCAAAATTATAAGGGAACTGAATCCTTAAACGGGTACTCCACCGGTTTTTTCATTGTCTCCGATTTGCTTGAAATTTTGCTAAACTAACGAACAAACATTGCTCAAATAGTATCCCAAATATTAGGTCAAAATATTGTTTTTTTTGTGAAGTTATTGAATTTACAGTTTTGGTCTTCCCCATGTTTTTCAAACTGAAAGTCTCTACTGGCAACAACAACAAAGTGACGTCAGTGGAAGGCAGGGGTTAACTTTTTGGACTACAGAAGTTGTTTCCAACGGATTTGAAGCAGTTTCTTGGTGTCAAATGAGTGCTTTGGGAGTTTGCTCCCGTATCCGCGCTCCAGCACGGAACAAATGATTGGCATATTCTATTTTTAGACTACTTGCTCGACTGGCAAGCCTGCCTGCCACTGACGTCACGGCACTGAAAAGTGCGCGAATATTTGAATATTGGTTTTGCACCATTTTCATTTGCCGATTTAACAATACCTATTATGAATTTCGCGATGCTAGTTAGCATACCGGAAAGGCTAAAGGCCGGGGAGTCAGAGAATATAGTTAGTTGAGGTAGCTCAAAAAATCGGTGGAGTACCCCTTTAACACCCAGGATCATGGAGGTACGAAGAAGAGGAGCCGACACACCAGTTCAAGCCAGCCAAACGAGAAGATCTTAATTGAAGCCAGGAGCAGAGGACACGGTCGGTGGGAACGCCCCCAAGGGTGACCAAAACAGCTGTTGGTGCCAAGTCAGCTCTCCTCTTCGTCCAATGGTGCCTCTTGGCTTTGGTCATCGTTGGGAGCGCGTCCCGCCACCCTTTTGGCTTCACCTCTGGTGGCGTCATGTCACCCCCCAAAAGCTTCCTACCTTCATGTCCAAGATGAAGAAGATATTGAGTCTCGCAGCAATACAAGCAGAAGGCAAGACAAGACAAGTCTCTAACCCCCTCTCTGACCTTTCTGCAGTCTCCAAAATGTATGGTGCAGCGGTCTTCAACACCGTTGAGCTGCAGGTTCTTGGTCAATGCCTCGGCGGCGTCCTTGTTCCACTCGCAGGAGTGAACATGTCTTGCCTTAGCATGAACTAAGTATGGCAACGTGAAGTACCCGATTCCTGAAACAGTAGTAAGTGGAAGAAATCAGATGCGGTTGACACACATTCGAGCGTTCGCGACGTTCCACAAATGTGTGGAAAGCTTTACGTAACATTTAGGTCTTATACAAATCTTGTAACAAGAAAGCATTCTTACCGGCGTACAGGTCCACGACAGTTTCGCCGTGGCAGTCGAGTTTTGCGACCCTCAGTTTCTCCGTGATGTTCCCCGAACTGAACATGCACTTGGTGACGTCGAAGGAGTACCTGTTGGAGATGCCAGTGACAACACACATGCTGAGACAAAACAACACAGCAGAGCTGTTGAAAACCAACAAGTCGGCCTCTCAAACGAGCATTGGCTGGTACTCTATATTGACACACGCCGGCCATTATTCAGAGTTGATGTGAACCGGAGCTTGAGCAGTCGACTCTTTAATGTCTACAATTACCTCGGCAGATGCAACGAGTTCGACTTATATGTTTTTGTGTGCATTTATTTATGTGACCATCCTTACAATGCTCCTGAAGAGAAACCAGTAGTATAATAAAGAATACATTACCGCAAACTGACAGCCTCTTCTCAAACTACCACTAGCATCAACAGAAAAACAAGCACCTGCTACCATCTGTTTGAGCATATTTTATATCCACAATTATCTTCTGTAAAACTCGTTTGCAGCTACCTTCGCTGGCTTACGAGGTTTCATGGAAACAAAAAGAACAGCAAGCATTTAGTAGAAAGCAGACGAAACACTCCTAGGAAACTCGGTCATCCGCATCGGGTCTTACCGTTGAAACATGTCAAGGATGTTGCTGCTATTTTCATAGGAACACAGCTACGCCATTAAATTTTGCAAAGTAAAGCCGGTACCACTAAAATAACACCTTTGATGAAAATTTTAGCTCGTTGTCTGCAGGCAGAGTTCTCTGGCACGTTTTACAGCGAGCCCCTCAATTTCCAACACCCTGTAGATGAAACGGTGGCTAAAAAGATGGAAACAGAATTAGTTCTCATGCCCAAGTCCCACTAGAGTGGCAAACCAAAACTACCGACACCGACAAGCCCAGAGCATGTGCAGCATCCCCGTGAAGGTGCCTTTGGCAGTACACGTAGCAGAGCGCGTTGAAAACTACAGAATACACAGAAAGAATAAAACACATGAAGGACGAACACAGACGCACACGGTTCTGTGTGCGTCTGTGTTCGTCCTTCATGTGTTTTATTCTTTCTGTGTATTCTGCCTTTGGGAGGCTTGCAGTCTGTCGACGCTCGTGTAGTAAGCACGAACGATCCCGAGCCTGCCAAAGATACCTTCGTGCGCATGCCGCACGCGCTCGAGGCTTATCGGTGTCAATCGTTCTCGTTTGTCGCTCTAGTGGGACTGGGGCATAACACTCTTATCTCGACAACAGGAAGCTCACTTGATGCCGTTGTCCAGGTGTGTCACCCATCCGTCGCCACCCAGGACCAGCCTGACCAGGGGAGTTCTGTGGCCGTCGGGGGCGATGCGGCCGTTCACCGCTATCCGCTGGCACTTGAGCGCGGAGCAGCACGCGTGCCACAACTTCGGACCTGCATGTTTTCGTGGATTGCCGTGTCGAGCATCGAAGCTTTGCGAAAGACCAATTAGACATACCATAATATCTTGAGAGATGTCCCACCCTCAAAAGATAGCCCGCCCCTATTTTTTGGCACCAAAACGCCAAAAGATGGCCCACCTCTGGTAATTGCAGGACCCTGGCCAACTGTGACCGTTGGCAGAAACAGTGTTACTTTGCCAGGATGGGAGATAAGTGAACATTGTTGACTGGGAAGGACGGTAGTCTTTGGTTCGTCGCCCCTCCCTGCAATCGCAAGTTTCGCAGGCCGCAGAATCTAAAACTAGCACCTCTTAAACATTTTTCTTGATTACACATCGAAAGTTAGCTTATTTCTTGTTTTCACCCAATTTGTTTTCAATTTTAGGTGGGCGATCTCTCAGGATATTACGGTAGACTGTTTGTGTCCTCGGGCGACCCCGATATTTCCGGCAGAGCCTCGTCTCCACTGAAACATTCAGAAATTGCGACGCACCTAAAGATTCGTTTGCACATTTGCGCCTGACCGTGAACGAGTGTTTCGCTACTGCTGGTGGCCACTTACGGCGAAAGATCACACTGATGTCATTTATAGAATGTCGGAAGTGAACCTTCCACTGTAAAACAAGCTGGAAAAATCGGCGCCTACATGTGGAAAGCTCGAACTTTCACCGAACATGCACTGAACAGCGTAAATCTGAAAACAAATTTTTCTTCTGTAAAACAACAAAAATAAAACAAAAAGCTTGTCAAATCGACGTTGGGTGCGTTCACAGATGACCAAATTACAGACGCTATTAACTCGCGGAGTCACCTCTCGATAAGAGCAGCGAGCGGACGATGGACTCCATTGTCTGTGTGCTGCGCCTGTCGAGAAATGGCACCACAAGTTAGTAGCATCTGTAATTAGGCCGTCTGCAAAAGCGCCTCCCGTGGACTTCGGCAAGTTTTTCGCTCCAATTTTTAACTGGAAGAGAACTACGCCTCGAGACTTCAAACGGTAAGGCTGACCTGCTCGGTGCACATTGTGTGAAAGTTAGAGCTCTCTACATGTAGGCGCCGATTTTTCTGGCTCGTTTTACGACGGGAGGTCTGCTTGGGACACCCTTTACTAGGTAGCCCCACAGCACTCGCAGTCTGTATATAACTACAGTCGGTAACAGGCTAAGATTGCAGTATAAGCACTGCCACCATCCCACACTCGTCGTATTCCACTAAACTTCGACCATGCGCGCAATAAAGTGCTATCAAAGGGAGAAAGCTCGTTCCAACGTTACTAGAAAAACTCAGCTGGGAAACTGCCATAGAGCCTGCAGTGAAAAAGTGGCTTCGATCCATACTCGGGAACCAAACTAATGACAATCGCAGCGCCGCCGTTGTTCCCGCAGCAGCCACTCCGGGAAGTGCACGTCTGTATGTATCGGTTCAGGTCGAGTACCGCAAGGGCCGGTAGCGCCATGTTGCAGTAGCAATATAAATGAACTTTTATGTTTTTACAAGTCGCTAAAGGGTGGCGCTGCTATCGCATTTAGTTTGGTCTCGCTGGACGCGAGCGGTCTGGTTTCAAGGGGGGGTTTCCCAACTGAGTGTTTTAGTAACATTGACTCGTACTCAAGGCGGGACATATGCTAGGTTCTTAAACCGCCATTGAATATAGAGCGAAGGTTTCGCAGTATTCGTGAGATCAAAGTCATGCGGTGTCAATGAGAAACGGTACGTCGCTTATAGCACCGCCAGAACCATTTCTCAAGGTCACGGTGAACGAATGATCCGTAAAAATTCGGGAAATATACTAATATCGGAAGGGTTCACGAGCTACCCAACAGACGCCACCGATGCGCTGCCTCTTAGTAAGCATTCCCAAGCCGTTGCGATGCAGTCGGTCAAGACCGGTTTACACAGCCCCGTTTTCTAGAGTTACGAAAGCTTACATACAAGTCACCGGGATGTCTGTGCTTCGTTCTAAGCGTGGCTACCAGTTCAAGGAGGAAGCCTGGCCCACGACGTTTGAGACACAAATGTTTCAGTGCCTTATACGCAACGTAAGAAAACGAAGCTGTGTGAGCCAGCCTTCAGAATCAAATGCAAATATGTGAATCAGTATTAAATTATTTTGGTGACTTAGTGGGATGATTTCGGTCATCAAACACAATGAACGAAGAAGTAAAATCGTACCGAGGCTGTTCCAGCGGGGGTCCGAAAAAGCACTTTGGCCCAACAAGACGAGGTCGCCATGCCTTTCCCATCGCTTCGGCACTTCCGACAGAAGCTGGTCAATCGAACCGTCGTCAAAGGCGGCTTCCTGCAGAAGAGCTTTGACAAGATTTCGGAGCACCTTATGAGGGCTATCCGTCGCCGACAGCCAAAATTCGTGTGTTGGGACCACTTTCAGCAGACACGATTTCAGATTTACATAGCCGCCAATGCAAAGTTCTAGTTTGTTACGAAGATGGTCGGCGTCGACATCTGTGTTGATGACAAGAGGTATCACGGCAGAATGATCAGATCCTGGATTTTTTACGATCTTGCGTGATGTCAGCAGCATGTTGTTGCAACTTAGGGCATTTCTGAAAGAGAAGAGAATGGAACATACACTTAATTTGGAATAACGTTCATATCGTGCAAACTGTCTTTTGTTGTAGATAATTTTTTTTTAACATACATTTGAATATATTAAAAAAAAGTCCCAGGTTGAAGTAAGAAAAAGGTAACTTTGTTATGTTTTGGTATTACACGGAGAAATTTAACGAATCGACAAAGTTTCAGGTAAGGTGTGTATATATCATGAAAAGTGCAGTCTTGGTATAAAGCACAGCATCAAAATGGCTGTCCACCAGTGTTGCAAAGTTTCCACATCAGAACTGATACGATTCCAAAATCGTTCCGCACTTCCGTGGCCTCGGAATGGAATGGGAATGTAACTAGAGGTCTATTGTTTGGAATACACTGGGAATGGAATGGGCTTGGTTCTTATGAAAACTGTGTCCATCTTCAGCTAAGGCCCACGGCCCGCCAGCATCGTTGCACTTCAGGCGGCCGACGGCTTCATTTTCTGACCAGCTTCCGCTAGTCAAGGATGAAAGTGATTCTTTTAGTGAAAAAACCAAACTGGATGGTTGCATTCGGACAAGGTGTCATTCCTGGCGTTGTGAGATTCGACAAAGCTACTGTTGTGACCAAGCCCAATTACATCACAGCTGAAAGGCCACCAGGCAGGGACAAAGCCACGACACCTGCCTTTCTCGGGTACTGGCCCTCACACTCCATGAGGCGTGCGTGGAGTCAAAAGTGCCATAGCTGGCTTGTCGGTAAGGCACACATCAAATTCTGCAAGGCCTCCAAGTGCCACCAAGCACTTTGTGTAACCACCGCTTACCTTAGCACAATCAACACTTTGGGGATGCGTTTTGCATATCTTTGCAATTGTCAATGCGTTTGATAACTCTATACTGTTTTTTCCGGCAACATAATGTAGCTGTCAAGAGCCATTTTTAATGTGTTTTGGTATTAGAGGAATGGAACACAACTTTTTACATTTAGGAATTAAAGGAATGAAATACAATGGTTCAGCCATTCCATGAGTGGGAACGGGCCCACTGTCTTCATTCGTAGGAGTTGAAAGGAATGAAGTTAGAAACGCTAATGGACCTTTTGCATGAATATCGGTAGGAGTAAATGGATCTGGTACCCTCTCTCTCTCTTCCTTCTGGCCGAGCAGAGAGGGAAGATGGTTTCTTTGTATCAACTTCGGGGCCGAAGATAACCCACGATGGAAACAAAGGTGAAGTTTGGGGGAGCCGTATCTAGGTCATTGCGGCTCAATAAGCAAACATGATGTAGCTGACGTTTTCGGCGTCGAACGGGTGGAAAAGATCTTACGCGCGCGTTATTTTCTAGCCACTTAGTCTCGAACCCAGTCGCGTCTAGGTGGTAGTACATCTTTTGCAAAAAGGTGGATTTCAGCAATAGAGTTGGAATGGAATGGGCGTGCTCATTCCGCAACCCTGCTGTCGACAAAATGACTGCCGACAATATGGTTGTCGAAAACCCGGCTGTCGACCAAATGATTGTCGACTAAGTGGTCTAGGAGGATACTCTTCTCAAAGTGTGCGGTCTTGTACTAATTTTCTTGAAGAGGTATCAGCACGGCGATATACTCTGTAAGGACTGGGGATTTGGGAAACATAAACGTACTTGACAAGTGATATTTTGTCGAAGTCCCGCGGCAAATGTAGCGCCCAGATGATGCGATCGTTAGCTTTGTCCGCTTTGTCAGCGTTCGTCTTGTCCACTGTGCTACTTGACATTCTCTCGCGGACATAAGCTTGAGTTTGGCGAACACAGATGATAACTGCTTGCAAGCTTTCTGAGCGATCTTCAAATCGGTTCGACGATTCGCAAGAAATAAGAACTTCACTGACTTCACGCCGACCGTTCGTTGGTTTGTTGACAAACAAGTGCCGCTATCCGCAGCAGGAGCGGCTAGGAGCGGCAGGAACAAGGCAGGAACCAGGAACAACATGCAACCAAATACCAAGTGCATTCTTGTAGTTGTTGCCCAGTAATAGCACAGATGTGCTTAAATTTTTATACATTACCATTTTGCATATTTTAGAAGTTTTCATTTATTTTCTCAAAAAGATTGATCACAAAATTATTACGTTGACAGCGCTGTTTTAACGTGAAGCGGCAACTCGTAAGACAACTCGCCGTGGTCCCGTTCTATTACAGAGGCTAGAAAGGGTTTCCTAGTGTCATCAACGCGGCCGAGGAGCGGCAATATTTTGCGATGACGCGGGCAGGTGGCGCTGCTGCCGGCAGGCGCGCTGTCGCTTGGCGGTAGGCGCGCGGTTTTCAACGGGAGACGCGTCTCCGGATGTAAATGTGTGGCTGTTGTAGCGCTCGCTATCGTTTAATCTTCACGCACGCATATATATATATAAAGACCACTTCTCTACGAGTCTTGCAAAACCCCTCCGCTTCGGCGGGCGTTCTCCGCAGCGCGCTTAAGACAGACCGCGCGGAGCGGTGCGGTCAAAAGAGAAGCGCTTGAGTGTAGTTTCATCTGCTGCACGCGCCTTTTATGTAAGAAAGGTTGGAAGTAAATCGCTAAAATGAGATGATGACGAGAGTGTATGCAACATGACATTTATTTTTATTTTACTGATCGACCGTTGCAGACGCCAGCAAGCGCAGCGCGTGTAACAAACAACCCCTTCATCTCCTCATTGCTCGGGAAACGAATTAAAGGTTCGCGCAAGCAAAGGAAAAGAGCATACAAACTTGCGAATTATCCACAAAAAACATCACAAAGCTAAACGTCTATTCCAGGTCTTTGTTCGCGAAAAATTTATTTGGTGTGCTCTGCCTCTCCAGTACCGCAGTCCGGTCCTCACCGGCATCGCCTCATTTTGAGCAATTTTTGCTTCTCCCTTTGGGAATCTCGATCCTTGTTAACAGCCTTAGCAAAGAAATGCATCCTGGTCAGAGCATAGAATTTGATGACATTTGCTGTGACCACGCGCCCATGCTCACTGCAGCCAACCTCCTGCAGTGCATGCCCCTGAAGGAAGCGCAGGAAACAGATCATGCTCTTAGCATGGAGCTTGTTTCTGGTAAAGAAAACAGTGAAGGCGTTTTCCAGTCTGGTTACCAGTGCCTCCAGTGGTTTCGAAGGGTACAGCAAACCCCCATGATCGAATTCTCTCGTCAATGAGGCGTTGCCATTGCACTCAGCCTGCAGGGGCAGGACACTCAAGCAAGATGCACATTCTGGGCACGGGAATTTTTTGAGGGACTTGCGGACAACGTAACCCGCTACGTAATATATCAGCCGACTGTCACTTCTTTTCTCGACACAGACGTGGTGGTCAATCAGGCTACTGTGCTCTTTTAGCACAACTGCGGCATGAGCCAGACTTCCCTCGTCCAACAGTTCATCAACGAGTGCTGCTACACGAGCAGCCTTTTCTTTTCCAGCATCAGATGGCTGCAAAAGTGCAGTTACAAGCTCAGCTGGCGAGTTTCCATTCTTTGGTGGTCTTGCAAGGCTGTAGAAAGTTAGGTTGTTAATAATGACCAAAAACTGCTCAGGGGAGGGGTGGTCATTACATCCAAAGGATTGTCGCACAATCCCAAAGATGTTTTCTAGTTTATCTTGACTAAGGTTTGCAGTCAACAAGTACTTGTGGTGCACTGAGGTAATCAGATAGTCCAGAAGTGACAGTGTGCTCTGTAGAGTCACACGGAGTCCAAGGGCAGTCCCTGCGCTTAGGAATCCACCACCGTGTTGGGCAGCGTACTCTTCCCATTCACTTAAGAAGGCAATGAACTTTTTCAAAAACCGGGCACTTCCTGACTGGGCTCGAAGGCCCTTAGACGGGACCCTGGATGACATCACGAAAATCAACATCTCCATCAGCTTCACAAACTGCTCTGTTGGCTCCGTTGATCTGAACCTTCTTTCCAAGTCACCTTTATAAAAGAAAAGCCCTTTCAACACCTCTTGACTGAACAGTTGAAAAGCCAAATTCACACGCATTTTTTCAAACGCGTTCGGTTGCACATGTGCCTGTGTTATGTGTGGCATCACTTTCAGTGTCAATGCTTCCTTGTCCCTTTTCCATGCCTCTTTGATGACATCAACATGAGCATGACCACATGGAATCTGTACGCCTTTTGAGACAAAAGTATTCCGCACGCATTTGATCAGATGAGGAAAATCAGAGATGAAGTGTAGGCTCCTTGCTGTGTCGACAGGATGGGGAACCTTGCAGGTGATTTCCTTAGATGAAGCTGCACAAGTAAGGAATATCTGTGAATAACAGGAGATAAGCAAGAAAAGCCTTTCACTGTGATTCTGGGACGGAAATTATCCACCTTTGATGCCGAGCAGCTTCCAGAGACAGCGATTCCAGGGAGCACCATCACTTGTCCAGAAATCGACGAAGAGGCCGGAATTTTCAGCCAGTATCGTAGCCTCCAGGAGAATCTTCGAGAGGACAGGCGCCTTTACATTGCCTCTGGAAGCAAAGACTCCGAGGATTTGTGTCCACTTTCCTGCAAAAATAAGATGTTTCACTGTGAGAAATATAAAAATGTAAATCACGGCTTAGGCATCACTGAAGTAAATATATGTTGTAAATGACATCACAAACTTCACTAGGTGGACTAGGCTCTAGGATGTACAACAACCAAAAAAGGCGTACAATTGTATTGCCGTCACGACATACTATTTTAAATTAACTTGCCTTTAAAGGGTTGAAATACTACAACGAGGCCGTGGTCACTCAGTGCTGTCTCGTTGCTATCCTCCATGAAAGGACCGAGGTCAACGAAGCCACTCAGTTCGCCAGATGCCGTCACATTGATGTTCTCGGAGAGCTTAATCTCGTCATACACAAGACCACCATGGCGGCTGAACTCGTCCATGTCTCGTGTTTTCTTTTCCAAAGCTGAAAACACACTAGTGTTGAAACCAAACGTGCTTTTAAATCCCTGCATGTGTCTGTCCAGGCATGATTTGCTCGGCAAGGCAAGAATCTTGTGTCTTCTAACATACTCGTAGAGTTGGGGGCTTCTCATGCGCATCAAAATGCACTCCAGGACCCACTGCATGTCGTACGCCATGCCTCGGCTTGATTTTCTGGATGCCGCCTCAAAACAGGTTCTTACAGCAAGACGCTGCTTTGGTGGGAGGCTCCTGATTTTCTCCTCCAAAACTGAGCTGGAAATTGTTTCCGTGACTGTTCGAAGCTTTGCAACACTTTCGTGGGCTTTTTCTAGCCTTTTTTTCGCCCGGAACAGCTGAAGGGACTTCCTGGCAATCCGTTGCTGAAATGTCGTTCGACGTTTCTTCTTGAGCCTGTACGTCTGGTTTTGGATGAGCTTTTTTGTGTATTTGCATCGTAAACAAGCTCTCCCGTCAGGTGTTGTCACACAGCAGTTTTTTGCGAAGTGCATGGAACCAAACTGGACACACTGACCAGCTGCCACTGGCTCAATTTCACAGCCTGGGCAAAGAAGCAATTGCTCGGCCTTTTTCAATGCCCCAAGGGCGTCATCTCGTCTACTTACACAAATTTCTTCGACTTTGATGCCTCGGCAATATATGGCGCAAAGGTATGCGCTCCCCTGTGCAGCGGTGGCTTCGGCGCATGCCGAGAACGTAACGTGCTTTATGACACGCACATCGTCTGATTCCATCCTGGCGTGCCATCCAAAGCACAATGCCGTTGGATCGTTCGATAAAATGATTCTGCTGCAATACATCGAGGGTGGCAGAATGTCGCTGAACGGGTGCGTCTCCGGCGCTGGTTCTGTACAGGCATTTCCAGGATCACAGTCATGCGTGGATCCGCTTGCAGCCCTGCGTTTCACTGGTGGGGTACCACGGTCAGCGAGGTTCCTTTCTTTCCTCTTTTTGGGGACAGGCTTTGTCAGATACGAGGGGGCGTCGGGGAATATCGTAGGGACGGCGTCGTCGGTGAGCACTGGACGTTCGCGGTCCAGCTCGACGAGCTCTCCATTGATGACGTGCTTGAAAGTTTTTTCTATGTAGCGTTCATCAAAGTGACGGGAACACACGACACAGGTTTCGTCGAGAACTTTGTCTTCTCGCTTGATGTTCCTCGCCCATTCTTGCCGACGAAGGGGGTCGACTGGAGCCCGGAACAACGATACTTTTTCTGCAGCCGATTTGTAGCCGCCTTTGCACAACGGCACGAAGCAGGTCCTACCTTTCTTCGCCGGCATGATCAGATGCATCCAACACACTGACGCATGACACACCGTTGGTCTTTCGCTGTGCACCGCGATGTAATCCACAGATCCGCACAAACAACAAAGGAAGACCCTCGGACGGCTCGGTTCTGTCACACGGAAAAATGTGCTTCCGCCATTTTCGCCCGGGCCGCCAACGGGGAGAATAGCGCGCCTGCTGGACGCAGCGCCACCTGCGCGCGTCATCCAAACCGGTTTCTCCGTGGCCGCTTGAAAGAGCGTACGCTCGGGACACTAGGAAACCCTTTCTAGCCTCTGTAGTTCTATCGCTTTTTGGGGCGGCCGCGCGTCGCGCGTTCCAGCCACGTGAGGACAGCACGATCGCCTCATCGCCTCAGAGCCTAGAATTAAGAGTGGAATCAAATGCACCAGGGTTGCAATTTGATGGCGGACGTCTCCTGAACAGACCGAACAGACTGAACGCAAATTCGCACGCGCGAGTTGCCTATTCGCTAAAACAAAAGCGAGCGGAGATGCAGAGCAGACCAGAGACGCTTGCGTGCTTGCAGACGATTGAGGCCTCCTAGCAGCTTGTGTTGCAAATGCGGCCCACAAACCACGTGGTGCAGATCGAGCACAGTGAAAACACTCTCAAATAGAGGCACGCTATATCGTCCCTCCCCCCCTATCATCGTCTCGATCCTCTCCCACTTTCATACCTACCGAACGCAAGGAGCAGGCTAGCGGAGCTGGCGGAGCCACATTCTATCGCTCCGTCCTTCTCAGGAGTACGCGACGACCTCGGCAAAACGACGATCAGCTCCCCCCCTCCCCTCCCCCTCCCCCCAACAAAAAAGAAGGTCGGCGGCGAAAACACAGACGTTCACGACGGCAGTCGACGTTTTTCGACCATGTCGAACGTGACAGTGCCTCAAGACGCTCCGACGATCCGACTATGCCATGTCATCAAGTGGCCCGACTACGAAGGGTTCGGCTTCAATCTCCACACGGAGAAGTCCAAGCCCGGACAGTACCTAGGCAAGATCGACCCCGGCAGTCCGGCACAACTGGCCGGCCTGAAGGAAGGCGACCGGATTGTCGAAGTGAACGGCATCAACATCTCCAACGAGAACCACAAGCAAGTGGTCGAACGGATCAAGGCTGTGTCGAATGAAACCAAGCTGTTGGTCGTCGACCCGCTGGCGGATACCTGGTACAAGGAGCACAAGATCATCATCAAAAACAACTTGTCCAGCGTCAAGCAGTCCAAGACACCCGTGCCAAGGCCGAAAAAGGTAGGTGCAGTGTTTTTTTTTTTTGTGTGTGTGTGCGCCGACGAAGCCGCACAGGGAAGTCCTACGGGGAAAAATATTGTTCTCGAGTTTTCCCGTATGTTCGTGCTGGTGGGCCCGCGATCTATCGCCGGGACTGTCCGTATGTTGAGTTGTTCACCACGAACGTTTGAGCTCGTTATCGCCTTTTACTAAATTGTGGTCCAAGTTTTGACGATGATCTCCCCGTTGTAAATGAGTTCAGACAAACCTGGACTGCGCTTGAAACGCACGAACATGTAACGCATTCCCCGAATACCTATCATGTGGGATCAAAAATTACTCGATGGGTGATGACTAAACAAGCGGATGGGAGGCACAGTAAACTTCAGGCTGCGCGTTGTGTTTTTGTATTTTGTTTTTCCTTCGGTGTTTGAACCGGGAACAGGTGTGAGAATGCCTTTCACGCCTGCTCGCGTGCGTTAGGCAATTTTACTAAACTACTTGCAAAAAAATATAAAAAAGTGTTTAACTTTAGGTTTTCATTGAATAAATAACTAATGAACGAGTGGGAGAAAAATGAAAGATTAGAAAAGAGGGAAGGGAAAAAGCAGCTGCTGCATCATTAGGCTGCAATATAAATACAAAAAGAAAAAAAAAACTATCTATAAGGTCTTTAGCTTGCAATTAGACTGAAAGCTAATGTGTGCAATGCAGCATCTGTAAAAATTCGAAACAGTGTTTATTAATCAAGAAATATCCTCGATCAATAAACTCTCATCTTTTACTTCCTGTCAAAATAACATTTAGAGTCCACTCCTTTCTTAAACGCTTTACGAAAGAAAGAAATGAGATACGGCAACAAAATAAATATAATGATGAAATAACAGCGACATCTCGTTTCAGGAATGGCTGCTCATTAGTTTTGGAGTTTCAATTAAAGCTTGTCGTTGCGCAGATTGGGCAGGAATTTACTTTTTATGTATTTTTATATTTTTATTCCCACCTGAATGGGTACAGATTACTCTTTGAGGTGTGGTTCTGCTTGGCACTTGCAGTCGATTATTATTAGCTACAAAGTAGATGAAATCAAACTGTCCGCGGGAAATACAAACTTGAAAGGTACCTGCGGACCAAAGAAGCTTCATAACTCCTAGAAACTTTCCGCTTGTACCTTTTCCAAGCAGCGAAGTAATTAATAATAAAAGTTTAGCGCCTGCTGTTGCTAACCATGTTTCGGCAGTGATTACGTACAGTAGGTGTGCATTTTGTACCTGTCATTTAGTTGGTCACGCATAGCGAGCACTGGCTATGGTATGCCTCGCGCTATATTTTATATACAATCCCCCCAAAAATAAAAACTTTTTTTTTTTTTTTTGGGGGGGGGGGGGGGGGGGGGGGACACATTTTGCGCTTTAACTCTATTTCATGGTTTAGTCGAGATTGCATAAAAATGGAAGTTTGATATGAGAAGCGGTGTCAGGTTGGAATGCAAACCATCTGTTCTGTTGGTTTGAGGAATACTCTGTGGAGTAAACCCGTTCATCATGTCTGCAAGTCAATCAGGGAACATTTGCCCATCTAAACATGCAAGTGGGTTCGATTTAAATAGATTCGTAAAGTGTACACGACGCATGTATCCAGAACTGCTATCGTTGCTTTTGTCCTAGTCTTTGCTCCAAATTTACCAAGTGGTCCCAGAAATCCAGCTCGGCGGAGCCACTTGTATCCCTCCAGTGCACTAGCTCCGTCCACCAGTGTTGCCAACTCAAAAATTAAAAACCCGCAGTCGGAAGCCCAAAAACCGCTAAAAAAACCGCTAAATACAAAATACAGCGCAAAACGACTTTTTAGACACTTTTTTTTTTTTGTTTAATTCTTGGCAAAGGTATAATAACAGTATAGATCATATCAATGCCACCTGAAAGGAAGCTTTCTTTTTGTTTTGACTAGAAATCTGTCACACCACGCCACAGTTCCCACAGGTGATCCGAAGTCGAAAATGCAGAGTGAGCGCATAAGAAACAGGGCAAAGGACCCTTCAGCAGTGCGTGACTAGACCCGTTCAACTCGTAGAGTCGTCTGCTACCAGAGGAGAAAGGTGCAGCGGCCGAAACATGCTTCTTCGTTGCAGCGTGCGCGACCAAATCCACATTCTTCGCAGATAGTTCTGTTTGGAAATAGCGGCACCTGGCTCGTCTGCTATCACCAGGAACCTCCAGTAGCCGGTTTTTAAGTTTAGGGTCTTATAGCCAGTCTTTTCTAAACTTTTGAGTGTACTTCACCTCGCCGATTTTACGAAATAGTGACAAAAACGTCAAAGAAAATTGGAACACTCATGCTGTTCAAACGTGCGCGCACAAAACAGGGAGGCATGTTCCGGCATTCGACGCCTTAATGTTTTGATGACGTCAAAGGCGTTACTGTCACAAACCAGAACATTACTGAGTGTAAGCGAAGACGACTGTGGCGTATTATCCTTGTCTTTGTGGATATGAAAGGCGCATAGTTGACAGTAAATCGATATAACTTGTATATCGCTAAAAAACCACCAAGGTTTCATAAAACCGGCTAAAAATCCCGCCGCCTGCAAAACAATAATTTATCCCGCTAAACAGAACCAAAAACCGCTAAGTTTAGCGGGAAAACCGCTAAATTGGCAACACTGCCGTCCACTTGATTGAAACAATGGATGTGTAGAGCTGAATTCTTTGAATCGGGCGGCGGTCTGCGCCACCTATAGGCAGTGTCGCCCCTGACGTCACTAGCATAAAGGCAGAGCTCGACAGTTGCAAGCTTGATGGCTTAGAGCGCACTTTTTCAACGGCGTACCCCGCGAGCATGCACTGGGAAAGAGTTTGTAATTTTTAGCAGACGGCAACGTATGTTCGGTGACCTCTCGACCGATCATAAAAATATTCGGCGGTTGTGGTCGTGCTCTTCGTGACCAGTATTCATGACTTTGATCGCCGTGCGTTCCCGCTTGCTTGTACTACATATAAAGCACCGTGTTGTTTTCCAGGCCCATTCGCGCAATCACATTGGGGTCGTGACGGTACGCGATGTTGGGCCTTTGTGTTGTTTCCTCCAAAGAGTTGGGCGAGCCTCCTTGAAAGGACTTCATTCACGAAGAGCGCACCCAACAACGCGCCGGTATTTGTTTCGTCTGCTAAAGAGAGATGCAGCGAGGGAGCGCTTTCGCTAAAGATACGAATGGGCACTCAATCCGTTTTCAAGGTCCTTCCTGTGTCAAAACATGTCAGAGCTAGTATTAAGGAGGCTATGGTCAGAGCGATGCTTATGTTTTACCATAATTTTGCTGAAGTTTCGTCATGCAGCCCCCACACCCTTCTCCGTCGGTTAGTTTCGTAATCGTCTTGTTCTAGCTCTGGTTAGACGTAACAAATTGCCACCGGACCTCAGACACGTAGAGTTTGATTGTGCGAAGCAAAATAAATGCCCACATGCAAAAAAAAAATAGAAATAAAATGCTGGCCCCAGCAAGCTTTTGGAAAGGCTGGTCAGCACCGCGAAGAAATGCCGTGTTGTTTTAATAAACCGTGTAAGAGTTTCTCCCTCTAATCGGCAGCCTTTCGAGGACTCCTCGGACGCCGGAGTGAGTGACCCCCATTGCAGACACACCTAGCCGTGTATGTAGATCGAGACGGAAAACGTCTGCAATCAACGCGGCCGTCCTTGAGAGCTGGTTTTTACCCCGAGGAAAGTATTCGCGAGCCGGCCAGTTTATACGCACACCCGGTAAAACAAAGCGCCGCGAGCAATGATAGACCGGATGCATGCATGGATGGGTGGATGAATGGTAGCATGCTGCTGAACCCTTTTAATCAGGTGGTGGCTCGCGCCACCTAGCCGATATTGTTAATACCAACGGTTAACCTCTACCTTGATATATAAACTGAGAGATGCGCAGGTTTACGAAGGAAGGAAAGAGGCTAACGCGAGCGTAGGTTCCGGCTGGTTGATCAAGAGCTAACCTCTGCCTAAAACCGTGGATGGATGGATGGATCTGGCTAAACCCTGTGAATCGGGCGGTGGCTTGCGCCACCTAGCCAACATTATAAATCTAATTATATGTTTTGAATTCCAAGATTAAATCTCACCCCTGCCTCGATTTTAGCCACCAGTCTGATAACCTCCGCTTGGTTATTTCTACCCGTGTAAAGTCTATTTTTCCTTCACTGTCTTTAAAACCCAATGCTTTGATTAAATCCGCCCGGTCACTGTTAAGTGTTGGGTGAAGCCCTTTACAGAAAAGTATTAAGTGTTCAGCCGTTTCCTCCTGCTCCCCACACACACTACATAAAGTGTCCATCTCCTGGTACTTATAACCCGGTACGTCTTAGTCCGCAATACTCCTGTCCTGGCCTCAAACAACAAAGAGCTTCCCCTAGAATTATCGTAGATATTTTCTTTGCAAATTTCCTGTTTGAACATTCTGTACGTCTCCAGTGCTGGTTTTGTCTGCATACCCGTTTCCCACAGACCCTTCTCTGTTTCTTTTATCCTTTTCTTAACCCGTAATTCCTGGTTGGCGCCCCCACTGCCGCCCAAATATTTGCTTGATAATTTTCTAGTTCGCTTTCTCCATTTGGTATCTACATTCCTCATGTACAAATAACTGAAAACTTTCCTAGCCCACTGCTCTTCCTCCATTTCCCTCAAACGCTCCTCAAATTCTGTCTTGCTGCTAGCTTCCCTGCCCTCGAATGACGTCCATCCCATGTCGCCTTGTACCCCCTGATTCGGCGTATTTCCATGAGCTCCCAAAGCAAGCCTACCGACGCCCCGCTGTTTAATTTCTAACTTTGCTTGAATATCTGGTCTCATGCACAGGACCGCATTGCCGAAGGTCAGGCCGGGAACCATGACCCCTTTCCAAATCCCCCTCACCACTTCATACCTACTGTAATTCCACAGAGCCCTCCCTATGTTTCATGACGGCTGCATTCCTGCTACCTTTCATCGCTACATGTTTTTCATGCTCCGTTAGATACTCAACACCA